CCTCCATGCGGCCCCAGGTTCCTGTGGCAGCTTTTGGCTCTAGGAGAACCTTGCCACGGCCCACCTTGGGGATCATGGGGGCCACTGGCCAAGCAACGAAGCACCTCAGCATGTGGTCTCCCTGGGAGCTCCCGGCCGTGCACCACACACTTCCCAGGTGAAGGGGCACCTTGGCTTTAGTTGTAGGGAAGGGCGCTTGGGCCTCTCTTGGCCCTGGGTTTGACCTTGCAGAGTGTTGGAAGGTTCTGGAAATGACACTTGGGACCCAGGGGTGGCAGCAGCCATTATGCTGGGTGGGGCCATTCCTTGGCCAGGCTGCAGCAGGAGTCTCCTGCCCCAGCTGTGGGGGTCCAGGTGGGTGTGTGCCTGTGGGTGTGTGCCTGTGGGGGTCCAGGTGGGGGTGTGCCTGTGGGGGTCCAGGCGGGTGTGTGCCTGTGGGTGTGTGCCTGTGGGGGTCCAGGTGGGGGTGTGCCTGTGGGGGTCCAGGCGAGTGTGTGCCTGTGGGTGCCTGGGTGCCCAGCACAGACCAGGAGTGACCCAGTGCTGGGGAGGAATGTGAAGACCTGAGGGGCCTTTGCTCCGGCAGTTTGAATGATTGGGCTCAGAAGTGGTAACCGCGTTTGTACTTCAACACCCAGGAGGGGATATGAGCCAACCCTGGGCCCAGCCCTGTGGCTGTGTGACCACGGGCGTATGTCCAGCCTCCTTGTGCCTCTGTCCTCATCAGTCACGCGGGTGTGGGAGGCTGGCTGGTGGGTCTCTGTGTTGTGGCAGTGCCGCCGTCACGCCATAATGACCAAATGCCAAAAGGTGCAGGGGATCCAACCTTCAAAGGAATACAGGGCCGAGAGACTGAAGAAAGAGGCGGACAACTCCAGAACTAAAATGTATTAAGGAGCTGACAGACAGCAGCTGAGTCCTGGGTCTCTGCACCCAAAGGGGATGTGGGTGTGATACTTGTGGCCTCCAGGGACACAGAGCTGTAGACCACATGTTGGGACATAAAACAAGTCTCTGCAAGTTCGAGAAGATGGAAATCCTATCAAGCATCTTCTCAGATCACAGTGGAATGAAATTAGTAATCAACTACAGTAAAAATTCCCTAAAACATTCCAACATATGGAGGGTAAGTAGCATGTTATTAACTAGAGGCCCACCGTGTGAAATTGCGAGAGACCCAGACCCGGTGCCTCTGGGTCCCAGCGTCAAGTCCCCGCCCACCTGTGCACACCTCGGCTGCACACGCAGCCCCGCCCACCCACGTGTGCCGCGCCCACCATGAAGACAGTTGTGGATGGCGATGAGACTAGTTTCCTGCCCTCACCTTTCCTTCTCAGGAGCACTTACATTGACCTTCGTTGGAAGATGAGATCTGAACGGAGCAACACTTGTTCCCATGAAGAAATCATATGACATTCAGCAGGTGCCTTTTGGCATTTGGTCGTTACGGCGTGATGGTGGCACGGCCATGGGATTTTTATAATAGTGGTGAATGGGTTACCAATGAGATCAAGAGAGAAATAAAAACCTCCCTGGAAACAAACGAAAATGAACACACAACCACCCAAAATATCTGGGACATAGCAAAAGCAGTCCCAAGAGGCCTGCCTCAAAAACAAGAAAAAATAATACAGTGGGACCTTGACTTAAGAGTTTAATTCATTCCGTGACAGAGCTCGTAACTCAAATTACTCGTATGTCAAAGCTTAAAGTGAACGAGTGAGACACGTGATGCTGGGCTGATGTGGCGTTCAC